TGGTAGCCTTGGTTCGATTACGTATTGCTATCAAGTTTAATTTCAAAAAGCAGGGATTTACAAATTACATAGATAAAACGGTATTGAAATAAATACAAATTTGTTGACCACATAATATTAATAAATAAAAAGTAAAAGTTAAGCATATTTTAGTATTTACAATGGTTGACGAAGGTAAATAGGTTATATAATGGTATATATCTTTTAAAATATGTAATACTATTTAAAATCGCTATTGCCCGATATCTGTAAGGTAATGTAACTCCATGACGGACACCTCAAGTCAAAAATGTTACATTGTGGCAGTTCTTCAAAGACATGGATAATATTGAACAGGTAAAAAGATGAGTAACCACGAATCGTTGAATTTGGATATCCACCGCCCCACCATGCATGGATACGGATTCTTTGGATACTTGTTACACATTTCTGGTTGGAATGTAAGACTTGTAGTATGAGATTGTTATAATATGCAAAATATATTTAATCAATATTATATTAAGCAGTAAAATTATATTTTGGGTTGAACACCAGTACAAGCGTAGGATACTGTGAAAAACGATCCAGAACGTTTTCGCGAAATGGGTTTATTGGTTGATGTTGATACCACAAAGGTAAAAACGAACTAATATTAATTGGTAAATAGTTATGTAGACCACCAGACCGCCATTTACTCTGACAAATATGACGCTTTAGGGAAAGGAAATGAACGGTAACACAACAGAAGATTTTTAAAAACAGAAAGAGCGCAGAAATAACCTTCAGGTGTTTACATTATAAAAAGCGTTTGAAGGAACATATTATCTGTATTGCGAGTGGACGTAAAATTAAATCAATTACGTTTGATGAATATGCTTTTATTACAGCTACATTGTTTGTACAACTATCCTTGTAACAAGTGTACACAAAATACTTATTAATGAATGGCCGTTATAAAATTCGCCAATTTTGCCTATTGATGGCTCATTTTTATACCTACAAATAATACTATATGTTGTTTTGCGGGACAACTTTCTGAAGAAGCAGAAGCTAAATAAGATTACAAACAGTCAGGCAAAATCGCCTACAGAAAAATAATAGATTAAATACCATGGGGTTATACACGTACTATAAATATCAGATCATACATATCGTCCGATGAAACTGCAGATAAATGTCGACTACATTCATTGATGATTTACAAAACTTATTTATGTTTCCTGGTACATCAGATAAGTACAATACATTAAATTCGATCGTTTTCAAATAAGTAAACGAAAATGAATAAACATGATATTAATAATTACTAATTTTCTTTTAAAATTTCAAAAATAAATTATATAGATACGTGACATAAATTTACCTATTAATAATTTAAAAATATAAATGTACAACATATTACATAGGTAAATAAGTAAAGATAGATACACTTCATTTGTATATTTTGAAATATTATGTACATGTATGACGTGTGGACGAAAATAAAATATAAAAATTCTATGTTTGTTGAAAATATTACGATAATGCCAGAAATAATTTCTGACGCATATAACTCCTATGGACGCAAAAATAACATTTCAAAATCCTGGGAATATTCTTTGTTTATATACAAATCGATTTCGGTAAAATGAGTAATTTTATTTACACGCTAGAAAAATAAAATCTTAAAATTTAAATATTCCAAATAACTTTGGTGTAAAAATTAATAAATATTTTACCTGTCTAATATAATTATGCACCCGCAAATAACATGAAAAATTTAAAAATTATATTTCCTGATAAATAAAAATAAGTTTCATTAAAAATAACATCGTATAAAGTATTGTCCATGTTCAAATGTTATACATGGTAAAGAAATGTACGATCAATTTATATTCAGGCTAAGGAACATATGATAATAAGGTTTGACATTTTTAAATTTTTGATAAATTTGAGATAGACTTTGAGCGCCAAAATAATGTTTCAGACCACTGGCGACGGGAAGCCAAGCTGAAGGCTGTGCAGGGTTGCAAGATCCTAGTTCGGACCAGAACTTCTGGAATATTTATGGATTCTTTACTGAGTCTTGACGAATCGTAGGAAATCTATCTATTGGTTACGCGATGATCGCGGTTGCTGATGAAACTGCTTGAACGAGACAGGGAGGATCCAACCTGAAAAGAGCAGGCCTGGCGGGTGGTAGAGTTGACCTTCTCGGCCACAAAGACCGAAAGTCGTGTGTCTGAAGTAGCGAAATCACCCTCCAGCGGATGGATGGGAAGAGAATAGGGAGGAACAGAAGTTTATCCAGTTAGCGGACGTAAGTTGAGTTTGGTAGCAGTGAAACGAGTGGCGGGAGCGGCGCAATGTTTCAGATAGCCTCAACCTGGGGCCTTAGTGGGCGTGCACAGCATCCGTTATATAGGTTATTTGTGCCGAACGTTGCATGGCTGCAGGTGGGATGAACGTCGCGATCGGATTACGAAACGTCTGCTGTTAGGCCCAGAGGTGCTGGCGGTGGTCAGGCGATCACTTATGTACGATGCTGCCTGTGCTGGCGAGAAGTTCTCCCCGCTGCTGGCTGGCGCTAGACAATAGGCTGTGGCTGAGAGGATGGTTGGCTCGATGGCAATGATAGTAGAGAGAGTGACTGCAGAATGGCGAAAGCACGGGCGGAGCAGTGAGAAGGGAAGACTCATTGCCACTTCCATGCGTGAAAGAAGCGTTATGAGCGGGTGGAGGTGAGACCATGGTCATCCCAGTTCTAACGATGGACATGGGATTTAGGTCGAACTATCTCTACGCTTTCGTTTCGAGACCGACGAATGTCAGCCGTGTAGGCTCGGATAGATGAACACGTTCTTGAGCGACGATACGCTGGGCGCTGACAGGCACCTATATGCCGGTAGTCGAAGAGACCTGCGAAAGTGTGCGTGTTCACCGCGTCTGCACTTTCCCGGAGCTGTTGAAAGAGTTTCGTGGGATCTGCTGACGGAAGGAGGCTGTCGGCTGTTCGCAGGTCATGTTGACTCTCATTAGATGGGTGTAGAATCTCCTGCCGCAAGAGCTGAGGGCGTCTGGGACGCAGCATGGCAAGATACGGCACGTGAATGGTGTGAATAAACCCTCGGGTGATGTCTTCTTGACAGTATGGCAGGCTCGTCCGACTGGACTGGAGTTAGCATCTGCATTGGAGGTGCAGGATTGTTCGGCGCGATGGTAAGACGGGAACACTCCTGGGCAGGTTGTTGGCCTCCTATACTGCGGGACCTACTTCACATCTAGTGCGCCGGGCGCGTGGTTTTGATGCACGGTTTCGGCAGACCTGAGTCAGATGCTAGGCGCGTGGTGAATAGAGTACTCGCTCTATTTTAAAAATACAAATGAGGCCGATACCGTGCCAACCGCGAGCGCGGCGTTGGGCCAACCACTAGCCCTCGAGTATCTGTAAAAGTAAATAGTAGGGAGGCAAAACAACCTAGCTTCAGGCCATGATGGAAGTCTAGCCGAAACGTCGCACTTTAGACGCCTAATTTAAATTAGGAATAAGTACTACGGGAACGACGTCTGGAACCAAGCATCGGGGAAACCTGGTGTGGACGTCTGGGATCGGATTCGTAGTGGCAGTCATGTAAATTACGAAAGTGGTTATTGATCGCATGCTGATCAGGCGAAGGTTAACGGTGAGTATTCTCCCGGGAACACAGCCACTCTGCCGGTGGGAGTATACCACCTGGCGGTTGCTTAAACCATATTAAGTAGCGGGTTGGATAGTTCCGCGGCCCTACCAGTGGTCAGTAGAGAGATTTGATACATCTTGATACCAAACTGGTAGTCATTTGAAAACCCACGTTTAAGGCGAGGGGCGTAAAAACTCCTTTCCTGAGACTGTTGGACGGCCTTACAACTGTCCTCATATGACGATGCCTGATACTTTTCCCGAAAAGTATCTTGTGCCTCTGCCTGAAAGGGGACGAGTCTAGGCTCATATACCTTTCTTGCGGAGTGAAGGACTTTGTCCAAATTTGGAACTTCATGTACTTTCGAGTGAAAAACATTCACCAGTATCGATGGTTAGACCTCTTATGTTCAAACTAATTGAAAAACATTTAAAAATAAAAGAAAATGATGATGGAATCAGCTTAAAATTTAAACAAACTGTAATTGAACAACTTACTGAACGTTTTAAATTAAATGAACACGTAATATCACCAAGTGTCATATCTGTAAGACACGTTGCCCCATTTTTTGATCCTAGGTACAAAAATTTGGAATATGAAACAATCGAAGTTAGAGAAAATATTCTAGAAAAAGTCAAAAAATTAATTGATGATATTATTTTTCAATTTAATGACAACGGTACACAAATGTCACAAACTGATCAATCTGCAACCAAAAAGACTACTAGTGGACTCGAATTTTTATATGGTCAGGAAGAAAATAATATAAATGATGCATCGGCGCAGTATCAGAATTATTTAGGAGAGCCACTACTCAGATATGATTTATGCCCACTTGAATGGTGGAAATCTCATGAAAAGAAATATCCATTAATCGCTCAAATAGCAAAAAAATATTTATGTATACCAGCAACGTCGGTTAGCTCGGAACGTTGTTTCTCTACTGCTGGAAATGTCGTCACACCTAAAAGAAGCTGCTTATCAACAGAAAATGTTAACTTATTAGTATTTTTGTACCAAAACCGTCAATTATTGTAGAGATATATTTTGTTAATTATTTATACTTGTAACTATTTATTTTTTTTCCTTTTTGTATCGAGAGCCAGAGAAGGAACCGCGTTAGCATTACTTCTTCTCTGACTCCATACTTGTAACTTTTGAATTATTCCTTAATTTTGTTTTCTTATTCATCGTTAAACATATTATTATTTATATATATATTAAGTTATTTAAAATGCTATAAAAATTAATATTTTTTTTATTTATATACTGCGTGAAATCATCGAGCATATTTTCATATTTAATTATTTCCTTAACATTTTTATTAATGTTGTATGTAAACTGTATTATTATTTATTACTTAAAAAAACTTAATTTATTAAAATCAGATTAAAAATGTATAAAACAATCATATAGACCGGTAATGGAATTTTTTTTCGAAATTTTGCATGATAAATTATTTCTACAATCCACTATTTGGAAGTATTTACATTGAAAAGTAATGAAAATTTCTCCTAAGATATTGTCCGCTGTTAGAAGGTATCCGTTAAGGTAGGTTTTACTGTAATTATATTATGTACAAATATTAATGCAAACACACGAATACACGGACTGAAGCAAATACACGAATACACGGACTGAAGCAAATACACGGGTACATGGATTTCAATATTCATTTACCCGTGTATTTTATTTACACGGACTTTAACACCGTTTTGTTAAAAACACGGATACCCGTGTTTTTAAATACACGTGAAATAGGGACCTCTAATTGCAAGATAATAAATATAATAATAATATGTGTATGGGCATTGTGCGCACCATGTGCCGCGCTGTATGGTTGCTAAAATGCTAAATGCTATTAGTAATAAAATAATAACTAATAGCTGCTATTTTATAATAGTAGCAGCTGCTGCTAAAGAAATAACAATAATATTACAGTGTAGGAAAACACAAGAAACTGAAATTTACTATATAAATTTTAGCAGTCACTGCTATTATTAACAATAAATGGCAGTCTGCGATTGCTAAAGTAAAATAGCAGTGCTATTATAGCTGCTATTGCTATTTCTTACCATCACTAATACCCATATACCCAGAGGCCAGAATACCTTCAACATTATTATTTTTTTATTGAAACTTTGAATAATTTTTATCAATATTATAAGTTATTAAACAAAATATTTAAATACATATAATACTGCTAGTATATGTTAAACATTTATTATATATGTATATGCCATATACGATTTCGCAAATGTTAGTATGAGTTATATATTTTATGAATTATTTTTTTTTTTATTTATTTAAAATTTTTCTTCATATATATATAAATAAATATATTTACTCCTTTAAGCCAGGCTTGTGACGGAGTAGAGAGTTACATATGTGTATAATATAAATTTTAAATGTATTAGTAGATTACAAGAAATACCTTATTACCTAAAATTTAATGAAAGACACACTTTCTATAAAAAAAAATAGATAAAAACAGAAAATCTTATTATTAATATTTTTTCAATCAAGAATTCCTTATTTTATTATTTAGTATTAAAAGAAAAAAATAATAAATAACAAGTTTTATTTATATTTTATCATCTACATTATGCAATAATAATAAACTAATAACTAATAAGTAAAACTAAATCCTCCTAAATTACCTAAAAAGTATAATTGAATGAATACTCTTGTTAGGTATTTAATTTAATAAATTGACAATTATATTAAATGTATAGGTAGTTTATGAGATAATTTTTTTTTTAATAATTAATGTATAAAGTAGAAATAGTGCAAATATAAATTAACAATAGTTAGTCGTTGAATGATTATAATTTATAAAAGTAAATTGTAAATTTTAAAAATGTAATATAAAATTGAAATCCTAAATATTTACAATCAACTTATTTCAACATATGTTTATACATAAATTCTATTATACAATTATTAATAATTTAATTATTAAATACAAATAGGTAACTGAGTTTATTTCATCATTTTTACCGTGTAGGTATTGAAAACAATTTTAATCTATTTTTCAGTTCAACCTCTAATTATGAGATAGCTTAGGAAAATGAAACAAATGATGATTTTATTCAAAATGAATTTAATGATTCTGTGATAGATGACATGATATACATATTTCCTTGCAGTAGTAATAGTATTGATAATACTAAATGGACAGGCCAAGGCCAAGCAGACTTCAATGAATGCATTTTCACATCTATGCCAAAGGCTTCAAAATTAAAAATAGATAAAGTTCTAGCATATTTTATATCTTCAGATATGATGCCGTATAGCATTGTAGAAAAGGAAGGGTTTAAAATGTTCACAAAAGCATTAAATCCAAGCTATAAACTACCCAGTAGAAGTACTCGGAGTAACAAAATAATTCCAGATTTGTTTAAGGCAACTAAGTTAAAAGTTGAGCAAATTTTATCAGATGTAATATTTTTATCAATAACAACAGATTGTTGGACTTCTGTTGCAAATAAGCCTTTCATAGCTATCACTTGCCACTTTTTGAACAAGAATTCTAACCTAGGTAAACATTTAATATTATATTTAATTAAAATGTCTCTTGTTATTTAAAATAAAAATCAGTATTTTACTTTTTTCAGATTCTATGTGTCTTTGATGCGAAGAGCTTAGTGAAAATCACACTGGAGAAAATATTGCTGATGTTCTACAAGTCACTTTAATGGAGTATAATTTTAACTTCCACGAAGGAATCTCTGTTGGTGCTGCTACAACAGATTCAGGAGCTAATATTTGTAAGGCTATTACCAATTTAAAAGTACCCTATATAACCTTACTTTGGTCACAGCTTTAACACTTCTGTTCAAAAAGTTTTCTTATTGGAAGAAGTAAAACCTGTCATTGAAAAAGTGAAAAAATTACAAAATATATTTGCATATAACTGGATGGCTGCCAAAGAATTTGGTATAGAACAAGACAGGTATGGATTAAAGAAGAGTAAGTTTCCATCTTTTTCAAAAACAAGATGGTGGTCCATGTTGGATCTTTTAGATGTTGTTATATCTCAAGAACTTCCATTTTCATCTTTTTTGAAAACCCACAAAAAAGGTTAACATAAAGATAAAATGGTAACAGAAATTGAGATGAAAATAATAAAAAATATTTTATTTGTGTTGAAACCAATCAAGATTATTTCTGATAATTTATCTGGGGAATCATATGTAACAGCATCTGCAATTATTCCTGTGATTAGAATGTTAGAAGATAAAATTAACTGCCAAGAAATATCAACAGCAGAGCTGTAGCTAGGGCTTGGAGAAACTGGCACAGGCCAGGGGCGCAACGAAAAAGGGGCGCAAAATCCAGAATAAAATATACCGTATATATATATGGTATTATTGATATTCTCATTAATTTACATTTTACTAGAATATGTATAAAATAGTTTTACTACTATAAAGTATAAATACACTATAGTGACCATATACTATTTTATAGTGTTATTATTGTGTATTATACAATTATTAAAATTATTATTTACAAGTGTTTATAATATGTCGTTATAATATTACGTAATATTACGCCGGGTCCCCGAGTGATATTTTAAGAACAGTTAATAGCCGGTAATATTGTGTTTTTATTTGTGTTGATAATTATTTATACTGCTGCTTATACCACCATCTCAGCACGCACGTCGATTATCAACATGGAAGTTTTGAAAATCGATTATTATTATTAAATATTAGCTTCATGTTAAAGTTAAAATTAGGATTCTAAATTTATTATATTTTAAAGACTCCCGTCAATCGTCATATTTATAGGGATACTCCTATTTCAATATTTAGTCATTTTATATTAGTTCGTGAAAGGAAGAACTTGAGTAACTTCTACAACAGTTCTACGGTGAGTTCATAATTATTATTAATTATAATTATACAAAATTAAATTAATTTACTTAATTGTAGTTCATAATCTATAATATAAAAATGAATCGCAAAATGTGTTGGTAAGCGCATAACTCAACAACGCCTGGACCAATTTGGCTCAAATTTTTTTTAAATGATAGAGAATGTCGGGGAGCGGGTTTATAGCATAAATTATAGACCTTACTCCTGTGAGTTAAAGATTTAGAGACAAAAACTGAGATACGCCGGTGGCGCCCTCTAGCAGATAAAAATATAAATAATAATACAAATATCATGCAGTTCGAACGACTAATTTTAATTTTGATATTGAAAGTAACGACGAGATGCGCAACGAAGCATTAGTTCTGATCGAAGACATGTGCGTGCTCATGTGCGGCAGTCTGTTGTCAACTTTGGGAATGCCAGCGCCTAATCGTTCGAGGCACGCTGCATTCAATCTTGAATTACAGCGGGAGAAAAACTATGATCTAGATGAGCAGGCCGAAAGAGTCCGAAAAAATGTGCCGCTGTTGAATGCCGAGCAGAAGAATGTATACGAATCGCTGATGAAGGTTGTTGATGATGGAACAGGAGGCATTACTTTCTCGATGCTCCTGGAGGGACAGGAAAAACGTTCGTAATTTCGTTGATTCTGGCAACAATTCGGTCAAGATCACAAATTGCATTGGCTGTCGCATCCTCTGGCATTGCTGCCACATTGTTGGAAGGCGGTCGAACTGCACATTCAGCTTTGAAGCTGCCAATGAATCTTCTCATGGTTGACAAGCCTACGTGCACAACGACCAAGAATTCAGCGACAGCGAAATTGATGCGAGAATGCAAAATCATCATTTGGGATGAATGCACGATGGCACATAAACTAGCTTTGGAGGCAGTTGACCGAACGATGAAAGATTTTTACGAGGTAATTCGAGACGATTTTGTGGGGCAATGATATTGCTCTCCGATGATTTTCGTCAAACACTTCCCGTCATTCCGAAATCTACTGCTGCCGATGAAATTAATGCATGCCTGAAATCGTCGTTTTTGTGGCGGCATGTCAAGAAGTTGAAATTGACCACGAACATAAGAGTTGCGTTGCAAAACGACCCATCGGCTGCTGAATTCTCGAGACAACTGCTGGCGCTTGGTAATGGACACATTTCGATTGATGTATTGACTGGATTAATATCGTTTCCGGCAAATTTTTGTGAGTTCAAATCGTCGAAGGAAGAACTCATTACAAAAGTGTTCACAGCACGACCAACGAAAACGAAGCGGTCAACTATCCGACAGAATTTTTGAACTCGCTTGATGTGCCAGGAACTCCACCGCATAATTTACAGGTAAAAATGAGATCGATCATAATTATGTTGCGGAATCTAAATCCTCCTAAATTGTGTAATGGTACACGATTGTCCGTCAAGAAACTGATGAACAATGTAAGACAATCAACGATCATCAAGGGCAATTTCAAAGGGGAGGAAGTCCTTATCCCACGAATTCCGATCATTCCAACAGATCTTCCATTTCAGTTTATGCGGATTCAGTTTCCCGTTAGATTGGCTTTTGCGATGACAATCAATAAATCACAAGGCCAATCGTTGGAAGTCTGTGGGATCAATTTGGAATTTCCTTGTTTTTCGCACGGGCAGCTGTACGTTGCCAGTTCGCAAGTTGGAAAACCGTCTTCGTTGTTTATTTTTGCACCAGAAAACAAAACGAAAAACATTGTTTAACAAAATGCAATATGTTGATATCTGTAACAATTCATTACAATGGAATACTTGAATTTTATTATCAATCTAGACTTTATTTGAAGGCGTTAAGTTAACCGGGTCAACTAAATTTAAAAAAAAAATTTAAGCAAAACAACGTTTGCCGGGTCAGCTAGTATATTAATATAAGTATTAATTTGTAACCTAGGTTTATATAAAATAAATATTTATAAGAATGTAATTACAAAATATCGTAGAATGTAGGACATACCTACGTATTTATTTGTGTTTAAATAACAGTATTGTTGCCGCCGCAACATAATTAGGTATTATTTAAATGCCACAATATCGGGCAGCGAAGATAGATGGTCACACACACACACACACTATCACCTGTTACCATAATATTTATTTTTGTATGTACCTTTTTAAATGTGTCTTGTGAGTTATATAATACCTATAATATGTAGATTATGCCTGTTATCGTATGCCAATGTACCGGCTACGTGAATATTATTTAACACGGCCGCCGTGACACTGTCTCATTTTCTGTCTCGTACCGTACGCTGTCCCGACCGTATCACCGCGTACAAAAATATTATTATTATATGCTACCGGTCCGCACAAGTATAATACTATAATACCATGTATTTAAAAATAAAAAGTTTTAATTTCATTATATTACATGTTGGTTGTAAAAATATTATTTTCAAAATAATATTTATTCATTGTCAATTGCTTCTAAAATCGTATTTTTATTATGTATAAAAAAAAAAAGCCATCAGGATCGTAGTTTCGCAAACAACTACTTAAAAAAGAAAAGAAAAGTAAAAAATTAGCAAAAGATATTAATAAATGGTTAATTTCTGAAACCATTAATGCTAATAATGTTGTAGTTGAGCCACCTGAGCTAGAACCATCTGGTATATCTTCTAACCATTTAAACATTTCAGAAGTAGAATCTGAACAAATTGACAATGTGGATTATTTTATTGAAAATAACCAAATAGATATTGACTGTAATATTAATTTTAAAGACCCTGGAACTTGGCCACCAATTACTTCATCTACTAGAACATTATTGGTAGAAAAGGGACCACAACATTATGAACCAAAAAATAGACCAAGTGATGATAAAGGTCGGCACTTCAGTAAAAAGTGGTTTTATAGAAATTTGTCTAATGGAGAGAGTGAGAAGACAGTGGCTCATGTATAATTCTGTATTTTGTTTTCCATGTTTATTATTTTTTAATGACAATAGAACATGTTCTTTTTTAAATAATGGTTTTGATGACTGGCAGCATTTGAATCCATATATCCCAGATCACGAAAAATCTAAAAGTCATTTAAATAATTTTATATCTTGGAAAGAACTAGAAAAAAGAATACATATGGGAGTAACAATAGACTGTGAATTTGAAAGTCTATTGAAAAAGAAAAAGAAAAATGGCGTAACATATTGAGAATTATAATTGATGTTATACTTTTTTGCTCAAAAAATAATTTGGCCCTTAGAGGTACTACTGAAAAATTTGGTGATTTGAACTCTGGTATTTTTTTACAGAACTTATTTATCACTATTCTCCATACTAGCTCAACATGTCCAAGAAGTTAAGCAATCTAATTTTTGTACTAGTTATTTTTTACCTACAATTCAAAATGAAATCATCGTTTTACTAGAACAAACAATAAGAAATAAAATTATAACAAGTTTAAAAGAGGCAAAATATTATGGTATTATGTCTGATTGTACACCTGATATATCACATAAAGAACAAATGTCGCCAATTATTAGATATGTTAAAAATGATAATACTGAGATTTCAATTGAAGAAAGTTTTATCGATTTTATACAATCAAGAGAGAAAACAGGTACTGGATTGGCAAGTGAAATATTAAAAAAATTAGAAGAAGATGGAATAGAACTAAAAAATTGTCGAGCACAAGGATATGATAATGGTGCAAATATGGCCGGAAAATATAATGATGTGCAAGCAGCAATATGTAGAAAAAATGAGTTAGCCACATTTATACCATGTGCTGCACACAGCTTGAATAGAATTGGAGTCCATGCAGCAGAAACGTCGCCCACAATGATTTCATTTTTTGGAACTGTTCAAAAGGTATTTAATTTTTTTCCTAGTTCCGTTTCATGGTGGGAAAAATTAACAAGCGTTTTAAAAGTCACATTAAAATCCCATTCAGATACACGTTGGTCGTCAAAAAAACGAACTGTTTCTGCAATAAATCAAAATATTACACAAGTTTATGAAATTTTGCAATGTATGTCAAATGATGAATCTCTGAGTGTAGACACGATGGAAGGAGCTAAATGTCTTCTCCGTTTATTTAACTTAAAAATATTTATCTTATTGGATATTTGGGACCTAATATTAAAACAAATCGACTTAATAAATTGTTCCTTACAATCAAAAAATCAAACAGTAGATACTGCTTCATTTATGTTAAAAGGGTTAATATCGTCTATAA